CCGGTGGGCTGGTAGCAGGGCTGGCAGGGGGGCCGGTGGGTTGTGACCCGGGACGGGGTGGCAGGGCACTGCCATAGCTGCAGGAAGGTATCTGTTTCAAAACATGTTTTGCATTTACTAAAATTCCCAGCCATCAGCTGAGCAGCCTGCGCAGGGCCAGGCCGGCCCACGCTGAGTGTCCATGGCCGATTCCAGACCCCTCCACCGCACTCCTGCCCTGCCTCAAGAGCCGTCTGACCTCCTAGCTCCCGGCTTTCCAAGGGGCAGGGAACAGGGTGGGGCCCCAGCCAGGACAGCACGTCTGAGCATTTAGCCAGGGGCTGGGACACTGCCCTACTGGCTCTGCCAGCCCGCCCCTCGCCACACTCACAGAGCCCCTAGTCTGGCCCCAGCTGGGGGCACCGCTGTTCATTGCGGTCCACGTCCCTCTCCCCGGCGTGGGGCCGCGACCCAGCTGTGCTGCTCAGAGGCCTTAGCTCTGTGTGGCTGGAGCTTTAGGCTCTTGCCCCACCTGAGGGAGCTTTTCCTAGGGTCTTCTGGACCCCGCTCCGCTCAGATGCCTCCCCGAACACCCCTGCAGGAGGGGGAGGCGAGTGCTGAGCCCCTCTGCCCTGTTCTTGCCCCACCGGGAGGGCAAGCAGCTCCTTTCCTACCTGTGCTGAGGGCACCAGCCAGGACCAGCAGCAGCACTGCTCCGGCCTGCATCGTCCTGCTGCGCCGTCGGCCTCAGGGACTGGCGTGGAGCCTGTGTGCGGAAACGCATGGGCCAGCTTGGACTGTCCCAGCAGGCTGTGCCCCGAGCACCCCCACTAGCAAATATTTGCCTCTGGCCACAGGCCAATAGTGCAGCTCTGGAGTAGCGGGGAGGGACACCGTTAAAGGGACCAGCTCAGGGCACAGGGAGCAGCCCTCACCCACATCCACACACCCGCCTCATGAGGGATTCAGCTCCCCGTCACCTCCCCCCCCCAATCTCCCAGACTTCAGCAAACAACCAACCCCTGTGTGGCCTTATCGACCCAGAGGGGGCAGGCTATGAAACCACCTCCTGCTCAGCTCCAGCAAGACTCAGGCCGCATCCCCTTCTTCCTTTGCAGTGACTGACGTGATGCCCTGCCAGGGCAGAGCCGTGCCCCTTGCAGCTGACCCGGGGCCTTCTCACAGCTCCAGGAAGCAGGCACAGTGGGTGGGGGCTGAGGGGCTCTGGAGACAGCTGGGCCAGCACGTGGCACACACGGCCTTGGTGCAACGGGATGGGCAGCAGGCAGGGATAGAAGAGCCCAGGAGGAAGAGATGCACACTGCCCCACGGAGTGGACATGAGCAGAGCTTTGTGCACACGAGAGAGAGCACCAGGCCAGGTGGGCAGCCAGACTGCACCAGCGCAGCCTAGCTCTGTTTGGAACCCTGTTGAAGACTTGGCCTTCACAACAGCCTCTGGCAAGGAGTTCCACAGGACAGCTGTATTGTGTGAAGAAATACTGCCTTTTGTTTGTTTAAACCTGCTGCCTATTCATTTCATTGGGTGACCCCTCATTCCTGCGTTAAGTTCAGTTAACGCCTATTACGCCCACTGGCGTGTAGGGCAGCAACGAAGGTTCTCCATTTTTGTCTGTCTTTGGCCATTTTCTCCAGCGTGTCCCAGTTGTAGTTCATTCTCTTCATGTCTGCCTCAATAGTACGCCGCCCTGTTGTCTTGAGTCTCCCACATTTCCGTCGTCCTTCAGGCATCCAGTGAAGTGTTATCTTTACAATGGCGTCTGCCTCCCTTCTCATCACGTGCCCTATCCATCTCCAGCATCTTCTCCTCATGATAGTGGTCATGTCCTTCTGGTGGCATCGCAGGAGCAGGTCGTGGTTGGAGATTGTTTTCGGCCAAAAGATGTGAAGTATCTTACAAAGGCTGGTGGTGTGAAAGGATGAGAGGTTGGCACGGTTCACACTCTGAGCTGTAGTGTTGATCTGACACAGCTCTGGTACAGTTTAAGCTTGATGTGGACCCTGTACTGTGTAGATCTTCATACTCCTGAGGACGTCTGGCCTTGCTTAGTCTGCTCTGGATGTTGTTCTTGGTGCCTCCATCATGGCGGATGATGCTGCCTAAGTACGTAAAGTTGTCTGTGCTGGGTAAGTCTGCATCATCTATCTTGATTGGTGCCGATGAATCTATATTGAGAATCATAATCTCTGTTTTCTTCTGGCTAACTCTTAGTCCAAGCTGGCGTCCAAAAGTGCATAGGCGTTGTGTCTTTTCCTGCATGTGTTGATGGGCATGGGAAAGCAATGCAAGGTCGTCCGCAAAGTCAAGATCTTCCAATGTGGAAAAAGGTGTCCATCTGATATCCCTTGATGTATCTGCTGTTGTTCTCCACATCACCCAGTCAATCACCATGTTGAAAAGCAGTGCAGACTAACAGTCCAGGGTGCAAGATGATTTAAAATAATAGCAATATCATACTTTAAATAAATTCTGAAAGCTTTGCCCATCACCCAGTCAATCACCATGTTGAAAAGCAGTGCAGACATGATGCATCCCTGTCTGACCCCCGTCTTGACTTCGAAAGACTGATCACAGTATCCCATGCTGCATGTGAAGTTGGTGTAAAAACTCTTAATGAGCTGGACCACTTGTAGAGGGATTCTGTAGGTTCTCAGAATGCCTGTATGACTGACAGTAGTGAAAGCCATGAGGAAGCTACTGCCACAATGATGGACACCAAGACAAAGACCAGAATTGGATTCTGGAATGTATGAACCATGTATGATATTGGCAAGGTAGTACAAATAGTTGCCGAAATGAGACAATACAATCTACACGTCCTTGGTGATAGTGAGAGTAGATGGACAGGATCGGGGAGACTGAAGACTTCTGCAGGGGAAACAGTGCTTTACTCCGGAAGAGACAATGACCAGCATCATGGGGGAGTGGCCATCATCCTTAAGAAGGGGATTGAAAAATGCCTGCTAGATTGATGAGAGTCAGACTGAAAGGAAGACAAGTGAGCATCACCTTGATCCAGACTGAAAGGAAGACAAGTGAGCATCACCATGCTCCAACCAATGAAAGTGGTGAAGAAATTAAAGATATCTTCTATGAGAAGCTTCAGGCAGAAGTGGAGTCTATACCACACCATGATCTTACCATCATCATGGGTAATCTAATGCCAAAGTGGGAAATGACAACACACACTATGACAGGGCCATGGGCAGACATGGGTGTGGCACCATGAATGATAATGGTGAGAGACTTGTAAGGTTTTGTTCCGTCAACAATCTGGTCATTGGAGGGACTCTCTTCCCAAACCATGACATTCACAAGCTGACTTGGTTTTCACCAAATGGCAGAGACAAGAACCAGATTGACCATCTGATGATTAATGGTACATGGAGTTGCTGCTTGCACACTGTGAAAGTGAGGAGAGGAACAGACATTGGTAGTGATCACCATTTAGTGATGGCACATGTGAAACTTAAGCTGCAAAGAACAGGTATTTAGACATCCATAGAAAGACGATTCAATGTTGAAAAACTATGAGATGTCACCACAAAGACTGCCTTCACCATTCAACTGAGGAACAGATTCCAATCTTTGCAAGATTTAAGGGATGATGTATCTACCAGTATCACAGATTAAATCAACACGGCATGGAAACAGATTGCATCAGCCTACACAAAGAGCAGCAAGGCCTATCTGGGTTTCAAGGATAGGAAGAAGAGGAAGGAGTAGATTAAGCCTGATACATTGAAAAATTCAGATAAGTTTCAATATAAAAATGTTTCAGTTAGGGAGACTGATTAAGAAGGAAAATAAGCCACACTTATATAATAGGGATGTAAAAGATTAATTGGTTAATCGGTTACCTAGTAAGCATTAGGCTTACCAGAATGCTTACTTGGAAAGTGGTTAACCGGACTGCCAGCTAAGTGGAGACAGCCAACAGGAAGCAGGTCAGGATGGCAGGTGGGACCCAGTCATGGCTGCACTTCAGCGGCTCCAGATCCTGGCTCCGGATATGCCATGGCCCCAGCTGCAGCTGTTCCAGATCCTGGCTGTGGCCCCAGAGGCCTTGGCCCTGGCCTTGCTATAGCTGGGTGCCATGGGCCCGGATACTGAACCTGGACCCAGCAGTCCTGGCAGCCTAATGGCTCTGCCCAGCGACAGCAGCCCCAGATCCAGTGGTCCCAGCCATGGCAGAACTGGTCCCAGCTGTGGCAGGCCCCGGCCCCCCCCTCGCAGGCCCCCCG